AAGGTTACACTACCGAAACAAAGCGTTGGTTAGTCGGTACGACTTCTTGTCCGATATGTGGGGAGCGAGATGGGGCCATAATTATGGTTATTATTGTTGGTTCATTTCGCAGAAGAGCGGTCTTGAACTTGAATCCAAACTCAAACCAAAACTCAAAATTCAGAAAGAAGTAGACCAGTGCAGGCGCGGGTCAGAACCAGGACATAACTCAGGTATCATAGGTACTCTTTTACAAATATCTGAATGGTGTGCTCAAATTGATGATTCGGATAGTCGGCTATCTGGTAATCAATTGCCTTTCCAAACAGTTGCTCGTCATTCCTGAGGATGCTCCCCTTGTATTAGACCTCCGGCTGCAGCTACATGAAACTTGCCATCTGGAGGTAGCAATTACCGTATCGGGTAGTATCAGGTAATTCCATACTCGCGGACTCCAATTGACTTTAATCGTAAAAAACACCCGAGGTTCGCAAGTTAGGTACATGAGATTATGAATATTAATAATGCAAACAGGAAGCATACCTTGACTGCTCTACAACCACGGTCGATTAAAAGCCGTCGGGTATTAGTAGCGATGTTATGATAGCACGGACAGTGTGCCAAGATAGCAAGTATCCATACCGCAGAATTCAAGATTATCTGTAAGTAACCTCCAAACTCACTAAATTATCAAATGACAAATCCTTGATTCAAAATTTAAGTGTATATTTGCGGATGTGCTATGGCAGTTTGGTCTGCTGACTAGGGAGGAATCGCCCACCTTAAAGAGGAGATTAGTACGGAGTAAGTACTTGTTTAATTGTTTTACAACCCCGGCGGAGGAAGGTCCATATCTCCGAGCCTCCGACGTCGCGATCCACCCATACACTAGCAGGAGGTGGCCTGAATCATGTTGGTATCTTTGGTAAGTTGGTGTCGAGTACGGAGCCTCCTCTCAGGTACCCGAAGTAATTGGTTCTCCGCGGATGTCTCAATATACTGAGGCCTGCCTTTGGAATTTTACAAAGCTGGCCTCTTACCTTGATCATCTGCATGGCAATTGCATACTGAGGACAATAAACTATGAGGCACTGTAGCTGCACACTAAGGTCCCAAATCAATAGCTGAGGTGCCAGTGACTCATTGTACATGTTCTGTGCATGATCTACGGCAGCTCTAGAAATTTAGAAACTAAGAATTCAAGCCAGGATAGTCAAGGGATGGTGGCAGCTGCGTCCTTTACTTCTTTTGGTAGAGTATGACAACTCTGTTTCTACCTCAGTGCCTACCTGACTGGTGACTGATCAGTCTTTATCATGCACTGACGATGAGGTTTGGGTGCCGAATCCCTGACCCTGGTGGAAGACTTGACTAAGGTAATTCCGTATTGAGGATTCCAACATATACACCGTATTAATATAACAATAGGAAATAATAATACCATCATCCATTTATCAAATTACCAACAAGATTGCTTCCGATATCCGCACTTTGGGACCTCCCCGATTAAGACTCATTTTGCATCCACTTTAACAAAAAATATTAATATTATTGATAATTCGATATACAGTCTTCTGACTGGCCTTGGACTGGCCCCACCCCGAACCAGTGTCAGTTGCGTTCATCATGCCTAAGCCCATTCTGGTCTCGCAGCATATGCCTAAAGCTGCTTTTGCTTGGGAGGACGTCATTCGTTGCCAGTCGGTGTGTCGAGGAAGCAGGAACACAATGATAAGGTAGAATTGAGCATCTAACACGTCGTACCTGCACGTAGATAGGATAAATATCTCATAGTCGCGGGGAGAAATACAAGAAATCGCTAAGACACTTGTTATGATTTTATGGGAAGACCGGTCCATGAGCATGATGATAATAATAATAATACACCCGTTGTATGTCCAGGGTGAACGGAGTATGAACACACCGAGAGCACAGGGCACGAAGCTCCTCCCTATGGACCTCACAGGCTCAGTGGAGTGCTGAGTCAGGACTAACACATGCGCCATATCAGTAGGCCCACAAGGTACAGACTAACATGCCTAGGTTGCGGATATACTGCGGTTAGCTCAGAACAACTAGCGCCCAATCAATATCATGGGTTAAGTTAGTTGACCTTGCGCGAGGCACAAAGGACGACGAACTCTGCCTTCTGGCGCAACACTATCAAAGTCGAAAGCTTTGCCAGTTGGCAATTTGAACATCTTGATTCTCCAGCAGCGGCATGTTGTCGTTATGTCATGCTGCTATGCACAAGCTTACTGCCACGACATGCCTGGATGATCAATTGACAAGATGATTATTTTCCCCCGAGTACCAACTATGTACAAACTACTGCCGTGTCAGCCCACCGTCTAGGCATTGTCTACCTTAGCCTTTTCGAGCTGGGGAGAGCCACAGGAGGCCCCGCAGGGGAGTTGAGCCTCCGGCTTCAATCCAGCGCGCGGATGGCTTGGCCACCCTAACCCCATCTTTGATTTTCGTCGCTGAATCATTTGACATATCAATCATTCGGGACGGAATCTGAAACTCGATTCTCTGTGTTCGGAATGGCCATCAAAAACTATCTATAATATGGGACGAGGCGGTGACTGAGTCAATCCCCCCGAAAAATAGGCAACGTTATACCAAAATATATATTCGTGTATTCGTCGTCTGAGGCGGCAGATAGCTGGAGTATAAACCCGCCTCAACCTTTGCCTCCCCAGAGATTGACTTTGAGGACGCCAGTGATGGGATAAGCTCCTGACTTTTTGGGCATAGACCAAATCCTCTGCACCTGCCATCCAATACTATTGATTGACTCCGGAGAAATATCGTCCGTCGACCTGCGGGAACATGGACTATTTCCCCGCGTGTGCAATCATATTTGCGGGGTTGAGGACATTGATATCAAGTTGTCAATCCCGGTCTAGGGCAAACCGGTCTCTGAAATGGCATATTCATCAGATCAGAAGATCTCAAATATTTCTTTGGTGTGACGGAAGACAATTGCATTGAACATGATTGCGGTAACAAGGAATCTGGCTCTCGCGGCGCTCGCCTCTGTGGCAGCAGCGCTTCCTGCACAGTTGAGCAAGCAGGCGTTTGACTGGGATGCCACCAGACATCTGTCGGTTCTTTATAATCCTACGCCTGTGCCTCTGAAGAAGACTGTTACTGACGCACATCCTTCAGACTCGCCTTTGGCGACTCATACACATACGTCCAAGGAACACATGGCCATCAGAACTACAGCTTTATCGGTGACCAACTGAACTTCGCATACGATAGGCAGACGCTACTGACCAACAAGATTGTTCAGAACCAGGTTCGCTCCACCACAGCGCTCGCGAAGTCTCCTGGCTGCCAAAGATACCATGATCGCTGACAATATCACGCTCCTGCTAGACCTCCACGGCCGAGGGAGGCCCCAACTGGGTCGAGTTCATAACAAACTGCGGCGTCAAGAAAGGATTGACCTCACCGCTGAGCTGTAAGAAGCAGCTCTGGGACTTTGCCTTTGCTGGAGCAGACATCTCCGTTGAATAGTATGGGGCCCTTATCCAAGGCTTCGCCGTTCATCTAACTCTTCCACAGCACGCCCCTACACCACAACTACACCGTCTCTCTCGTCAACCAGGTGACACAGTACAAGCAATACGGCCACCCCGTGCTCAAGAACATCATCCACCCATCCCGCACCCTCGTCGCCATCTGGATCGGCATCAACGACATCAACGACTCCGCTAACTACGCCGTACACTTCCCCACCTTCTACAACCGCCTAATGACCACGCTCTTCGCCTCCGTCCAGACCCTCTACGACCTAGGCTATCGCTCCTACCTCTTCATGAACCTACCCCCTCTGGACCGCACTCCCGCCAACCAAGTGCGGAGCAATCCCTCCCCCAACGGAACCCAGATAACCTGGTTCAACGATGCGTTGGCCGAGCACGCGCAGAGCTTCGAAAGAGCCCACGCCGACACCACCGTCCACGTCTTCGACGCCCATACAGCGCTCAGCAACATGATGGATCACCCGGCGCGGTATGGCATCCTCAACACGACGAATTTCTGCGCGGGGTACAACCAGCCGGACATCGAGACGAATTACCAGGCGTATGGGTGTCCTACGCCGCTGGATACGTACTTTTGGTTCAACTCAGGTCATCTGACGAGCCATGTCCATAAGAAACTCGCGGAGGTTCTAGAGGCGCAGTTGAAGGGGTGGTCGAGGTGATTTGTCGGCTTTTGGTGGCTGATTCGTAGAAGATTCTTAGACTTCGATGCCGTGATATGGGTACGAATTGTACTTTTGGAGAAGATTTGATTGTTTCAGAAGTCGCTGGCTTGAAGCGAATATGAGTAGTAGGCACGCTTCATAGCCCACACTACTGGGCTCACTCTCGGATGCATCGATGGATCACTGATACTGGCAAGACGAGTACGGGCTCAAACTGAACTACATGCAATGTTTGAAGCTTGCTAAATATGCCCTGAAAATAGTGGCTCCTGCATATAATCATTCACATTGTCCGTAGGAATGCATTGAATAAGGGCAAGGATAGTCAATTCCGGTTGGCAACACTCAGCAATGTACAGATATGATATGCAGCATAGGTCTTAATGGACACAAGAGCATTTTACGGTGGAGAGCAAGGAGGATTGTTCCCTACGCTTATTAAAAACCATTCAATATTGATGTGAATGCAAATTAATTGCACTAAGACTTGAACGAGCGAATGGCCCAAGTTAACAACTTTTGAGATCAGAAATTAAGATGCATGAATAGGATCTGCAAGATTAGACAATTCCAGCAGTGGCGAGCCTCTGCGGCCGATTCAAAGCTCGACGACGAGCATTTGTAAAAGCAAAACCATAACATGAAAAAGGAACAATGTCTATCGTGTCATCGAAAAACGCCTTCCGTACCGAATTACGAAGAAAAACCCCGAGGGAACCATGAAAAAGCGAAGTCTACCAGTGACGATGGGTTACAAGCTCAATGACGAGACTGGACGTCAAGGTCAAGATCAGTCAGTTTACCAACGGCGAGCGTTGCCAAGCGGGGCAGCGTTGGAAGCGGTATAGCTACCACCACGACCACGACCACCACCGCGGCCACCCCACCGGCCGTAACCACCGTGACCATGGCCACCGCCACCGCTGTAGCGAACCATCTCAGCGAGACGGGGGTCAATCTGCTGCTTGGCCTCAGTGAGGATAGTAACCAAGTCACGAGCCTGCTTGGAGTCTGCATTGAAGAAAGTCGTTAGTCATGACAATTAGTGACACATGCGGTTGTAAAGAAAAACTCACTTTCAGTGGTGAAGAAGGTAATGGCAGTTCCCTTCGCACCAGCACGACCAGTTCGACCAATACGGTGAATGTAGTCCTCCGAGTTATTGGGATAGTCATAGTTCAGCACATGAGTGATGTCGCGAACATCTTCAAACAGATTTAGGTTAGCACACAGAGCATTAGTCAAAATAGCAACGAGGCCTAGGCGCCCTTTTTGAGTCATGTGAGACTTGATGCATCACTCTCTCACGGAATCTGAGGTCGAAATCCGTTTGTGGGCAGAGTCCATCGCCTGGCACAAGGTCGCGGTCCTAGAGTAACCTTGGAATGCAGCTTCAACAAGTCGAAGGGAGAGATAGCACATCTCTCGACCAACGAGGTTCAAGAATAGAGATGGAAAACTCAGAACAGAAAGTACGAATCAATCTGCTACACTGCACTGTAAGTCCAAGGTCCTCATGGTATGAGCACCATTTTCAAGAGACCCGACAAAGCCTGGACGAGTCATGTTATACCAACATGGTTTCTTTTAGAAGAGAGTCAAGCACCGTGCCATTGTCACACGACGTCAATGTGGGTGAGGGTGCTTAGGGAGGAGAATAGGGAGGGGGAAGGGGAAATTTGCGATTCAATCATACCAATACCACGGGAAGCCACATCAGTGGCCACCATGATTGGGCTCTTGCCCGCCTTGAATTCGTTCAAGACCCAATCTCTTTCTTGTTGCTGCTTGTCGCCGTGGATAGCTGGGCTCGTTGTTAGCAAGAGCACTGGGAAATGAGGAATGATCCAGAAAAGACTTACAAAGGGCGGGCCACCCGTCCTGGCGGAGGAATCGGGTAATCTCATCAGCAATGCGCTTAGTGCCGGTGAAAATGAGACACTTGTTGCCACGGTTTTCCATGATTTTCTCGAGGTGCTTGATCATTTTGTCGCGCTTCTCGAAGTCGGACACGACCTCGACAATTTGAGTAATTCTGTGGTTAGCAGACAAGTCCATGGAACCGATGTTCACCTGGATGTAGTCGTTCAGGAAGTCAGTAGCGAGCTGACGGACTTCCTTGGGCCAAGTGGCGGACCACATGCAGGTCTGTCGGTCAGGACGAATCTGAGAAATGATTTTGCGAATTTGAGGTTCGAAACCCATGTCCAGCATGCGATCAGCTTCGTCAAGAACGAGGTAAGTGACACGGCGGAGGTTGGTCCGGCCAGCTTCCAGCATGTCGATCAGACGACCAGGGGTTGCAATGCAGACTTCGACACCCCGGCTCAGATCACGGATCTGAGGACCCTTGGGAACACCACCATAGACACAAGTGTTGCGGATCCGGGAGGACTTTCCAAACTTGCTAATTTCGGTCTGGATCTGAACAGCAAGCTCACGAGTAGGAGCGAGGATGAGGACAATGGGACCATCGCCAGGAGCGAGGAGAGGCTGAGCGTTGATGTGAACAATGGCAGGGAGACAGTAGGTGAGAGTCTTTCCGGAACCAGTCTCGGCGATACCGACGACATCGCGACCAGAAAGCGCCATAGGCCAACCCTGCGACTGGATGGCAGTGGGACGCTCGAAGCCTTCAGCCTTGACCTCACTCAGGACGTACTGGGGGAACCCGGCCTCGTCGAAATTCTCGACGGGACGAGGCACATTGCGTCCCTGCACAGTCATCTCGTGCTTCTTGCGGAATTCCTCGACCTCGCGCTCAGAGCGAGCGGCAACATCGGGATGTTCCTTATAGAATGACTTTTCGAACTTGGGAAGGGAGTCCAAATCTAGGGATAGCAAGTCAGCACCAAAGTCTGAACGGGAATCAAAGTTAAACAACTTACCCCAATCTTGCTTCTTCAAGCCAGCGCCCAGGTTCGACATGCGGTCACCACCAGCGGCTCCTCCACCGCGACCATAGCCACCGCCATAGCCACCACCGCCAGAGTAGCCGTTGCCATTTTGATAACCGCCACCGTGACCACCTCTAGAGCTGTATGCATTTGTTAGTTATTGCACTCATGACAGATGTGCGAAATATCAAGATTTCCAGAGATAACTCAAGCCATGATCGACGCCAGACGAAGGTACGACATGTTGCAGGCTATTATCGCGCAGGACGCCAGCATAGCAACGTTGAGTTGGCCACAAGACGAGGGATGGAGAATCACAGTACGTAGTACTCAACCCAGGCCAAAGCGATACATTTCAACAACATATCACTTGCGATATCTCCGGAATCTGAAATATTTCCGTTTCAAAAATGATGGAACTTACCGATAAGAATCGCCGCGCGACTCGCGCTGATAACCGCCACCGTAAGAAGACATCGTGTAGTTTTGTGTTATTTTGATGAGAAACAGAAAACGACGGCGATGAAGGTAGAAAATGGGAATAGAAAGTCACAAGAAGTAGACTGGAAATTACCTAAAGTAGGTAACAAGACTACTGAGAGAGAGATGAAGACAGAACAGTCTTCGATTCAGATGAAAAAGAGAGGTAAGGGGATAAAGAGAGAGAGAGAGAGATGGGCGAGGAGGAAAAAAAAAAAGATCTCAGCGGCAAGAAAAAGTGGAAATGAGCGACTCAAAAGGAAGAGGAAGCGGCGAATAAGGGACTTGCCTGTTGTGGTTAGCGTGGGCCAGACTTTTCCTTTACCGCCTTTTTTGCCACAAGATCACGTGATAAAATCGCCTCCCGTGTGACCTTGGGTCGTCATCACAAATTTAGCAAAGCTACTTCGCAAACCCCGATAACAGTAGATATCAGGAGTGGCATTATTTACGTTTTATGGTTGGAGGTGCTTAATAATTTCTACTGACCGGATATTGTCGCACAGTCCAATGCAGTCCAACTTATTGTGTCCTTGATGCTGGTATCTGCCCTTTGCCTAGTCAGATAGATGCAGTGTGCCTCTATCTTGCCTGGGCCTGCTGCTTTGTTCAGAGCGGCGCCAAGGCCCATGAAGTAATATAGTTTCCATGAGAAATAATGAGTGTCGTACATCTTCGAGTTCAATGCCGCACCCCTTTCAAGAAGCATGGCTAGCACATCAACGACATCCTCCTGTCGGTCAATAGCATGATGGAGTAGTTGTCCCTTGCGGACATCGACTCGCCATGTATATGTTCTCATCATTCAGGCAAAAGATGATCCCATTTACAAGGTCATTCGGGGTTACCAGCCATTGGCACCAGAGACCTACCAGCTCAGCTGTGGTGATCACATCAATGAACGGGAGCATGAAATGGGTAAACATTGCTGAAACAGATGCCCTGGAAGTTCCCATGGATGTCGTATTTTTTATCCTTCCGAGAATTATAGCTCCTGTGATTATTCTCTGAAGTGAGATTAAACATCTAATCTTGCCATTGTATATTCTACAGTCTAATAGTCTTCTACATAGGATTTGCTACGTGCTCAATGATGTCATATGCGCTCGTGAGTGGTCGCCCAACCCCATATCCCAGAAGCTAATTTCCAATTCCGTCGCGCGGATGAAGATCTTGATCAGTTCCTCCATACGACTTGGGGAGACCTGTCGCATGTGTGTCTCCAGGAGTTCTATAACACTGTTGTCAGCCACATATGCTTAGGTACATCGTGGAAGAAAAGAATTGTATCCTTACCAGATCCCAATCGGACAGCCTCCGTGTAGTCTTCGGCAACATAATTCTCAATCCACTGCCAGTAGCGATTGCCCTCCCGAAGAGTCTCTTTCTCAGTGTAGAGTCGCTTAGCAATGGCTCCGTAACCGATGAGACAGGGCGCAAGAGCCACCTGCAGTGCGAGCCAGTCCTCCGATTGTCCCACGTCGAGAATGTAGCGGCTGTACGCCGTACAGGCTAGATTGAGAGTCAGCAGCGATCAGGCAGGAAGCATCTGAAAGCTTGAGTACTTACCAAGGCTTTCTGGGTAACTCTCCATCTCTGCCTTGGACAAGCCAAAGGACGCACAATAGTCCAAGTGCAACGCCGTTTCCCGCTCAATATGTAATACGATCTTGGCAGACTAGATTTTTTGTCACATCAGCGTCGACCCTTTCAATGAAAACCGATTCTTGGTGCTAACTAACCGCGGCAATAGACGCCATGGACTTTGCTTTATAAGCAGCCAACGAGTTGCTACGGGCGAAATGGACCTGAAGGGACCAGCAAGTCAGCAATCCTCGGATGGATGGCAAAAGTATCAGGGGGTTCTCACCAAGTACAGATAGTCTTGCACCAGGTATTGCTTGAACCGTTCCACAGGGAGCTTGCCGCTGCCCAGGCCGTGAACAAACTCATGCTCGGTAAACTTCTTCCAGATCGGACGGACATCAGGTCGGGCGAGAGCATACTCCAGGAAACGATCGCTGAGGTGCGTTAGTCACATGGGTCAGGGAACTAGAATAGCAGGACCTACGGTGCGAAAGGCAAGGAATACACGGAGTGAAAGTGGTTGATTGGACCACTTCCCTTGCCCATATCGACACTTGTCTTGATTCCCGCTTCGACAAATCGGACAGCACCGTGAACTGCTCGTTTCATATCTTTCCCAAGGGCCAGATTGGCTGCAATGGCCGACGCCAGAGAGCAGCCCGTGCCATGAGTGTTCTTGGACACGAGGAAGTCAGTCTCGAATAGAGTGGCGTTCTCTCCGTCATACAGAATATCAATCACTGTTGACGCATCTTCCGGGTTCTGCGCCGCCTCGTGGGCTGCTGTGAGAGGTAGATGACCGCCCTTCAAAAGGACAGCTTTGGGTCCCAAAGCACGAACTTGCTTTGCGAGCTGAGTGAGATCGGAGAGGTCCTTCGGTTCTTGTACGTCCAATCCGGCATCTTTTAGTAAGAGCATCGCCTCAGGGATGTTCGGAGTGAGGATGGTCGTCAGGGGTAGTAGCTTTGTGCGCAGACTTTGAACAGCTGCTTCGGGTAACAATTGAGACCCGCTCGTAGAGATCATAACCTGTTTACGCATTCAATCTCAGATATTTTACTTCGAACAATTCAACTTAGTAGAATTACCGGATCCAAAACCACGGAGGGGATTTGATGCGAAGTCAAAGCCTCAGCGATGACATCAATTGTCCCCTCAGAGGAGAGCATTCCTGCGTCTCAGTTAGCTGCAACTGCCGGACAGACGGGTAGAATTCGGAAAGGTAGGCGACAGTAACAAAGGAATCAATCTTGATGCGTAATACTCATACCTAATTTGACAACATCTGCTCCCACATCCTCTAACCCAGCATTAATCTGCTTCTTCACAAACTGTGCAGGGACGATAAAAATGTCTTGCACCCCCAAGGTGTTCTGGGCCGTTAAACCCGTCGTTGCTGTCAGAGCATAAACACCATGAGCAGCGAGAACCCTCTGATCAGCTTCTAATCCGCTGATTCATTTTATAGGTTAGTCGGATATTTACATCCTTTCTTCGGAAACGATGGACTTACGCGCCGCCTGAGCTGTCCGAGCCGGCGATAATTAAAACCCGCTTGACGGACATGATAGGGGTGGCAATATCTCCGAGCTGATCGATTCAGGACAGCTGACGAAGATAACTGATTCAATGAGTTTGTTTGAGAATGATTGGGCACCTCGTACTCCGTAGAATGCACGGCATTAAGATGAGAAAGTGCCGAGTGCCAACAGCAAGTCCACCGCGTATCAGTGGGGAAATTTCCAGCGGGGCTTCCGATAAGAGGCCGATAAGATAGGACACCCTAAAACAGAAGTACGTAGCTTTGTATATGAACTGCAGCGAGGGAATCTGATGACCATACAAACGGAACCAGTCTTAAGTGGGAGACTCGCCACGTACTATGAACTCATTGACTTCGATTCTTTTGCACATTACAAAATGCCTTTCATGCGCAAAGGAATGCTATCAGTCATCATACAAACAGTGATATCATTACGCTATCCACAATGACAGACGAGAGCCCAAACCATCCAAAAGTCCCTGTATATACAAAATCCATTAATCCCAGTCAAAGATCGCACGACAGCAAATAGTTCACGGAAGCATGAACCGGAAAAGGGCATCCATTTCAACCCATTGTCGGCCGCACTTCTTCAGATAGCCATCCACCACACCCTTGATGGTGCCGAAACGAGTGCGATTGAACTCGACCAGCGCTGCGATGCTGTCTTTCTTTTCCCCGCTGGCCTCCTTCTGGGCATTGGCTTTAGCCTTGTCCACATCCCAAAGACCTGCAAAGTAAAGCAATTGGTTGTACATCTGCTTCTCCGGGTACTCATACGTCATACGTCCAAGGCAGCCCTCAGCGCGGCCACGAGGCCCCAGGCATCGGTGCCCATAAACGCTCATTTGGCGAGTTCGGTTGCCGCATGCAGAGTCATCACAAACCAGCCAGCCTTCGTAGTACTTTGACGTTTGAGCACGAATCTGGCTCTCCAATTGCGCAATTATCGTCAGCACGGTGAAAGGCTTTTGACATGCTTGGTTAGGACAGACAATGCCGTTGGCAGTACACATGTGAGTCGACGCCACGAGTCCCTCAAAGATAGACTTCTCTTTGCAAGATCGACAAGTCAGCGTAAGCCGAGCAGCATTCTCGAAACGCACAGAGTCTGGAATCTGGGACTCCAACGGAAAGATATCCGCATTCTGCTGGTTGCTTCCACTGGACGTATTGATCTGATACTTGCGTACATCCAGACCCAGACACTCAGCTAGCCGAACTGCATCAGTCCCTGGAATAGGCGCACAAAGACGCTCAATGGGGGGGAAAATCTGCTTGAGGAGGTAAAATTCGATATCGGGCTTGAGATTGTTATCGGACTTCATGACATCATGAAGGGTATACGACCGCTTCGCTGGTGGTAGCGATGAGGTCTCCGAGTCTCCGTTCGTCACGATGTATGAAATAACATCGTTGGGTCGAATTGTCTTGCCACGGGCGAGCTCACGCAGCGCAACTTGTGCGGGAGGCATCGTCTCCTTGTTGGGGTATTCTTCTGGCCGTTTCGACAGTTTCTGTAGAGAGCATTAGAATGGAAAGGAGATCGTCAGGGGCTGGAAGCTTACCGTATATATCACGTATTTTTGGACCGGAATTTGGTACTCGCGCATTTTGTCGGCCAGGTCTCGAAGGTAGTCATGGACTCGATTGAGAACTAGCTCTTGGTCCTCACCAGAGAGGATTTCATTGAGAAGTTTCTGAGATACTTCCTTCGATAGGGCACAGTATTCACGTCGTTTCATATCCAAACCTTTGACCTCGAGCTTATCCACAAACTTTCCGTCCACCTCAGTCATGTTGACAGCCGCATACTTCTTTTTAGCGTGCAATAACAGGCGACGGAAGATGTTGTCGATATCTATTTCCAGGAGCCGGTATCGTTCGTTGACGGATTTCTTGAACTCCTCGCCAACCTTGAGTGCATCACTGATAGTGTCCATATTGGTGTTAATCATAACAGAGTCGGTATCACCATAGATGACGCGGAGCTGCTTTGATTCTGCCAGCTCCTTGGTGCTCCTTAGAATCTCACGACCCTTGAAAGTTGTGAGCATGGCCAGAGGACGAGCATAGAAACGACTCTGCGTATAACCCAGACACCCATACATAGAGTTAGCGGTCAGCTTAAAGGCCAATTGTTTGGTGTCCCACAGCGCAAGCTGTTCAGGTGTTGCGTGCTTGTCTTTCATCAATTTTTTTACTTCGCGACGGCGACCAACAAGCGTGGCAATGAGTTTAGGAAGAATACCCTGCTCTTGATCCGAGGAAGGAGCTTCGGGTACTTTTTCTTCGTTCTCATTTTCAGCCTGCAAACACGTTAGTGGGGGTTGAGAGTAGGGATTGCTAAGACAACTGTTGAGTGCTTACCGTGGCGGTCCGGTCCACGGTCGTGAAGCAGATATTGTACTCTTGGATGATACTCGGGTACAAACTGTTGAAGTCCATGACCAAGACAAACTTGTCATAGAGGCCCTTTTCGGGCTCGAAGACAAGACCTCCTTTGTATTTGTCCTTCTTCTTCTTGTCACCGGCAGCATCATCGTCGCCATCCTGATTATTCTCTTCCGCCTTCTGTAGCTTCGATGAGTATTTGTCAGGGCAGATGTATTTGTTTCGGTGAAACTCATGCAGCAAGATGTACTCGTTACGCTCAGCGCGAGTACCACTGAGGGTTCGAGCCCAGGAATTGCCAGCAATGTTTGTGAGAACTTTGGTGAGCGACAACATTTGCAGCCGCAACACGAGGGCAGCAATAAAATAGGTGTCCGCATCACAGTGGTTTACAAAGTTCATGAGACCTTCTTTGGAGGTAGCCCAAGTCTTCAATGCCGCCTCAGTATCCAGTTCCTGCCGTGTATTGCCATCTCCAAGGTAGAGTTCGCACATTTCGGTTAAGCTCCACGATTGACATTTCATCATGAGAGACTGGTGATGTTAACATGTAATCCTCATCTTGTTACCACGAGAATCTTACCTTTCCCATGTCATTCGCTACATCGCACATTAATCTTCCAGCGATCAAGTGCCTTTCAGCAAAGAATCCTCCGCCTTTGTTGAAGCTCTTGGGCCACTCGCCACGCTTTAGACGTCCAATGCGATGCCACCCGGGGGTCTTCTTTTCTTTCAAGCGACTGAGCAGAATGCTGAGGTCAACTTCTTGTAGTTGATGTCCCATAAGGACATCAGGATCCATTTTTTCGAACAATGCCAGGAATTTGCTCAACAGAAATTGTTCGCTCTTTTCCAGCATGAAAGTGCCTCGTTGCTTGCGCGTCTCAGCCTCGAAATGAAGTGGGTACGAAGAGCCAACTGGTCGCATGACAGTGAAAGTCTTGCAAGGGATTTTCTCGGGAGGAGTAGTGTCCGTGAGCGAGATGTTTTCGTAAACGCGTGCACTTGCCACCAAAATTTCTTGCTTGTTCTCCTTTACATTGAGTTGGGTCCGGAAAGAAAGACTCATGAGTGTAAGGGGCGGCGGCTCCAAATTCTCCGTGTCAGGCACAGGTGTAATGGAAGCAGGTCTAGCAACCTGGCACTCAAACTTGCACCATGATGCATTGTTGACAGCTGTAAAATCGGCATCCTCAATCTTGAGCCAACATGGACCCATGATGTTTTTCCAAAGCACAAATTGCTCGAAGAGAGAGGTGTTGGTTCCGAAGACATGAGAGAACGTTTCGCCCTTGGTTTCCATTGGTAACGTCGGCTTGTCGTACGGGTAGAGCAACTTCAAGTACTCTGCTTCCTTGGGAATATCGGGCAATTCAAATGCGTACTTGCGTGTGCACGGTTTGATCTTATGCATCCCGACTTTGAGCCTGGACATCATCTCGTCAACCTCTTCATAGACATCTTTCATATCCACCTCCTCATCGGTCACTCGGCCATGCTTATGTCTGTACTCGCGAGGGAGGAAAAAAAGCTTTCGTAGGATATTGTCGATTTTGACGAAAGCGCTGACATGAGAACCGGTGTGCTTGTTCTTCACCTTGCCAAATAAGCATAAGCTGCCGTTGACCTCCGTATAGTCGAGCCAAAACATGCGCAAACTTCCGTCTTCTTCGATCACATCCTGTGCGCGAAGCTTACCGAAAGTCCGTGATTCCGTTGCTGGACTGCTAAGAACGTTCAGTTTACTCCGGACGTCGTTCCAAGAAGCGTTCAGAATGTCCACAGGTGCTTTCACGGGAGAAGAGTTGGCAGGAGTTGTATAATTCTCCTTCTTTATCTTCGGAGGCGGACGGATTCCAGCCATGTTAACGCTTGTCATTTTGGCTTCACTTTGTCCTGTTGCTGGAGCAATCTCCATGAGATCGTTGTCCTCTTCATCAGATTCTTCCTTCTTTACGTTGATATTCGACTTCCTCTCAACTACTTTGCTGATGGGGGAAGACGGCATAGGATCGCTCATGGCCACGTCGCCGTCATCCATTGTAGGGAGGGGTCCATCGTCGTCTTGGAACTCAAGGTCCGGTGCTTGGTTAACAGGCGAGGCCGGCTCGCTGTTCTCGTCCTTTCTGCTGATCCTCTCATTGCGTGGCTTCGAGGCTAACGGAGGCGAAAGAATGCGGACTTTGCGTCGAGTTTCCGACTTGATCACATTTTGTGTAGGAATATGGTTCGCAACGACATTGGTATCGACTTCTCCGAGAAGATCGGCCATGAAAGCTTCATCTTCTGCCGTGGCAACCGGCTATTCTCATTAGAACTGACGCCAGGCATTGTGCAAAGTAAATAACACTCACTTTCGGCTTCGGAGCAGACGCAGCAGGTCCAGTATTGAAGTATTTTGAGATACCATTGTTGATTTTCTCTTTTCTCTGCTTCTCCTCTTCGCGCTTCCTTTTGGCGGCTTTGCTGCGCTCGGGTAACTCGTCATCGTCGCTTTCGCTGTTGTAGCCCGCTACTCGTTCGTTCCATACTTCCCGACCATCATCCGCGTATCCTTCACCGTTGTCGTCGACCACGAAATCATCCTGATCCAGCCGGTTACGGATAATTTTCTTGTAACCTTCATCAT